GAACAGTAACCGGGTTTTGGTATTTTTCTCTCCAATTCTCTTTGCTTTTTGCCAAGATTGTTGCTATCTTGATGAGATATTTTATAGCCTCTAATTGCGATTAGAGAAGACTCTGTGTACCCATTATTTGGTTGATAGTGGAGATTTTAACTGGACTAGGTCCCGTGGTTTTTCTTCCTCACACTGGGGAAGTTTTCCACGTAAAAATTGCTTGTGTTCTTGTGGCTTGGTGTGATTGAATTTTTTCTCTATTATTTTCAGCACATATAAAAGTAGAGATACACTATATTTGCTTACATATAGGGAGAAGAATTATTCCGCTATGTTTGTTTATTGTTATCTCTCCCAACAAAGTGGTATCAGAGCTCTAGGTTGACAGATTGCCAGGTTGGCAGTTTGAGTTATGGAAGTAAATACGAGTAGAATGATTAAAGTAAATATGAGTAGAATGATTAATTTAAATAGTTCAAATTATCACATATGGAAAGGAAAAATGGAGGATCTTCTTTATGTGAAAGATTATTACCTACTGGTGTTTAGTGCTGAAAAACCAGAAAATAAATCTGATGTGAAATGGACTTTGTTACATCGACAGGTGTGTGGGTATATCAGGTAGTGGGTAGATGATAATGTTTTGAACCATATTAGTGGAGAGACACATGCACGTTCTCTATGGAGTAAGCTTGAATAGCTATATGCTAGACAGACTGGAAATAATAAATTATTTCTGATTAAGCAGATGATGGCTTTGAAATACCAGGACGAGACTCCTTTATCTGATCACCTGAATACATTCCAAGGAATTATTAATCAGCTGGCTGGAGTGGGTATTAAGTTTGCTGATGAGATACAAGGGTTATAGTTGCTTGGTTCATTGCCGGACTCGTGGGAGATGCTCAGAACTTCATTGTCTAACTCCGCTCCAGAAGGTGTAATCACAATGGGTATGGCCAAAAGTTGTTTGCTAAATGAAGAGATGAGAAGAAAAACACAGGGATCCTCTTCACAGTCAGAGATCTTGGTTACAGAAAAGAGAGGGAGAAGTAAGAGCAGAGGTCCGAAGAACAAAGATAACAACAGAAGCAAGTCTAACAAGTTTGCAAATGTAAAGTGTTATCATTGCAGGAAAAGGGACACATCAAGAAATATTGCAGGCAATTGAAGAAAGAAAATAAGAATGAGAAAAGGAAAGGAACGAAGAATGGAGATGACAAAGATGGTGATGACAGAGTTGCTACCACCACTCATGCAGACTTCCTCATTGTTTATGATGATGAGATAATAAATGTTGCATACCATGAGACCAGTTGGGTGATTGACAGGCAACGATGGCTTGGTTAAAGCCATTGGAATTGGGGATGTGTATCTGAAGACGACTAATGGCACGAAGTTAGTTCTCAGAGATGTGAAGCATGTTCCTGACATTCGTTTGAATTTGATTTCTGCAGGTAAACTTGATGATGAAGGGTATTGCAGCACTTTCAGTGATGGTCAGTGTAAGCTTACTAGGGGTGCTATGGTTGTGGCTCGAGGTATGAAGCACTCTGCACTGTACGTTCTGCAAACAAAGATCTCCAATGACATTATTAATATAATGGAGAATAATGATACAACAGAATTGTGGCACAAGAGACTGGCTCACATGAGTGAGAAAGGATTAGCTCTACTAGGGAAGAAAAGTTTACTATGTGGACTGAAAAGTACACCTCTGAAAATGTGTACTCATTGTTTGTCAGGGAAGCAGAGTAGAGTCTCTTTCAAGAATTCCCCTCATTCGAGAAAGTCATAGATACTGGATTTGGTACATTCAGATGTGTGTGGCCCTATGAAGACGACAACACTTGGTGGCTCCAGATACTTTGTGACCTTCATAGATGATCATTCAAGGAAGTTGTGGGTATATACCTTGAATTCAAAAGACCAAGTGTTAGCAGTGTTCAAGTAATTTCAAGCCCTAGTTAAGAGACAGACTGGGAAGAAACTGAGATCCATTCGTACTGATAACGGCGGAGAGTATTCTGATTTTTTTGATGAGTATTGTAGATAGCAAGGTATCCGGCATCAAAAGACAACTCCTAAAACTCCTCAGTTGAATGGCGTAGCAGAAAGGATAAACATGACACTGGTTGAGAGAGTGAGATGTTTGCTTTCACAAGCCCAATTGCCAAAATCTTTTTCGGGGGAGGCATTGAGCACAGTTGTTCATGTGTTAAATCTTACACCCTGTGTTCCTCTACAGTTTGATGTGCCAGACCGAGTTTGGACAGGTAAGGATGTATCCTATAATCATCTGCGGGTTTTTGGGTGCAAAGCATTTGTGCATATTCCAAAAGATGAAAGGTCCAAACTTGATGTGAAAACGCGACAGTGTATATTCCTTGGCTATGGCCAAGATGAGTTTGGGTACAAGCTTTATGATCCAGTTGAGAAGAAAATTGTGAGAAGCAGAGATGTCGTGTTTGTAGAAGATCAGACGATTCAGGATATTGAGAAAGCAGGGAAATCTATGTCTCAACAAGGTGATATCTTGACTGATATGGATCCAGCTCCTCTGAAGAATCTGCCATCTCAGGTTGAGAATGATGGTCAGGATGACCACCAGTGTATAGGTGATGTGGATGTTTCCCTACAGGTTCAGGGAGATGTTGAAACTGATGAGCAGTTGACAGCGCCAGAGATTCCACCAGTGATTCCATCCAGGAAGTCTGCCAGAGACCGACGTCCTTCCACTTGGTATTCAGCAGAGCAGTATGTGTTATTAACTAATGGGGGAGAGCCCTAGTGTTTTGCAGAAGCCATAGAAGATGAACATAAGACAGAGTGGGTTAAGGCCATGTAAGATGAGATGCAGTCATTGCATGATAACCACACCTTTGAGTTAGTAAAGCTACCTAAAGGAAAAAGAGCTTTGGAAAATAAGTGGATTTACAGGAAAAAGCCAAATGGGTTCTCTTCACAGCCACGGTACAAAGCTAGATTGGTTGTCAAAGGGTTTGGTCAGAGAAAAGGTATTGACTTTGATGAGATATTCTCTCCAGTCGTAAAGATGTCATCGATCCGTATAGCACTCGGCCTAGCAGCTAGTCTTGACTTGGAAGTTGAGCAGATGGATGTGAAAACTGCCTTCCTTTATGGTGATTTGGAGGAAGAGATTTATATGAAGCAGCCAGAGGGTTTCAAAGTGAAAGGGAAAGAGGATTATGTGTGCAAGCTGAAGAAAAACCTATATGGTTTGAAACAAGCACCGAGACAGTAGTATAAGAGGTTTGAGTTTGTTACGGGGAAGCAAGGCTACAAGAAGACAACTTCTGATCACTGTGTATTTGTTAAAAAATTCTCTAATGATGATTTTATTATTCTACTGCTTTATGTGGATGACATGTTGATTGTTGGCAGGAATGCTTCAAGGATTGAACAGTTGAAAAAGCAATTGAGTAAGTCATTTGCTATGAAGGATTTGGGGCCAGCAAAGAAAATTCTTGGCATAAGTATCAGTCGTGACAGGAGTGCCAAGAAGTTATATTTGTCACAGGAGGAGTACATTGAAAAAGTGCTTCAAAGGTTCAATATGGACAACTCTAAAATGGTTAGCTCTCCTCTTGCTACCCACTTCAGACTGAGTACAAAGGAATGTCCTTCTAGAGATAAGGAAAAGGGAGACATGGAAAGAGTTCCTTACGCCTCAGCAGTAGGAAGTTTGATGTATGCAATGATTTGCACAAGACCATATATAGCCCATGCAGTTGGTGTAGTTAGCCGATTCTTGTCAAATCCGGGAAGAGAGCATTGGAATGCAGTGAAGTGGATCATGAGATATCTTCGAGGCATTTCCAGTTTGAGACTTGGTTTGGAAAACGGACAACCATTGTTAGTTGGCTACACAGATGCAAATATGGCAGGGGATGTGGATACTTGTAGGTCTACTTCGGGTTATTTGATCACTTTTGCAGGTGGGGCTGTAGGTTGGCAATCGAGACTTCAGAAGTGTATTGCTCTTTCTACGACAGAGGCAGAGTTTATTGCAGCAACGGAAGCGACTAAAGAGTTGCTATGGGTAAAGAAATTCTTGAGAGAACTTGGTTTCAAGCAGCAGAGGTATGTGTTGTTTTGTGATAGCCAGAGTGCTATCCATCTTGCTAAGAGTTCCTGTTTCCATGCAAGATCTAAGCACATTGATGTACGATACTATTGGATCAGAGATGCGTTGGACAATAAGTTACTTGAACTTGAGAAGGTTCACACTGATTATAATGGTTCTGATATGTTGACAATGACCCTACCAAGAGAGAAGCTTGAAGTTTGTTGTTCGATCGCCGAGATGACGATTCCCTCCACATAGTCGGAAAGGGGGAGATTTGTTGGGTTTATTTCCTTCTATATGGAGGAAAGCCCAAGTGGGTTTTATTAAAATCCCAAAGCCCAACCTTTAGGGAAAAAGAAAACCCTAAGAAAGTTAGTATAAAAAGAGAGAAAGGTTAGCCGCAAGTGTAAGAACAAAGAGAAGAAAAACGTAGGTTTTTTCATTCTGTCCAGGTTTGATCAAACGTCCGATCCTGCTTTGTCCGTGGTCCGATCGAGCTGAAATTTGGAGGAGAGGTTCACGACTCAATGAATTAAAATCTGAATGGTGAAGATGAGCTCGGGAACAGTGATTCGTGCCCGTGAACAGTAACCGAGTTTTGGTATTTTTCTCTCCAATTCTCTTTGTTTTTTGCCAAGATTGTTGCTATCTTGATGAGATATTTTGTAACCTCTAATTACGATTAGAGAAGACTTTATGTACCCATTATTTGGTTGATAGTGGAGATTTTAATTGGACTAGGTCTCGTGGTTTTTCTTCCTCACACTGGGGAAGTTTTCCACGGAAAAAATTGCTTGTGTTCTTGTGGCTTGGTGTGATTGAATTTTTTTTCTATTATTTTCAGCACATATAACAGTAGAGATACACTATACTTGCTTGCATATAGGGAGAAGAATTATTCCGCTGTGTTTGTTTATCGTTATCTCTCCCAACACTTCCAAACACTAGTTGGCAAGTAATACACTTCCCCTGACACAAAAAGAGTTTCTAGGTACTGAAATTCGGATATATTATCCGGCAGATGAAATTTCTTCCCTTTAATTGCTAAGTATCTCAGGAGAGCTAGCCGAGCGATTGAGTAGGGAAAATGGGAGGTACTAATGCTCGATAAATCCAAAACTGTAAGAAGATTGAAGCCTCGTTCAATGAATGACATATCCTTGGGAGGTATTGGATTCTTTTCAGAGCCAAAGTAGAAGAAAGTGCGGATGTGCTGAGCAGAAAACTCTGAAGAAATGCCACCAAAAATGCGAGAACGGACACACAAGCGGCGTTGCTTTGCTGCAATAGGTAGGAAAAGTTGCTTATCTGCGGTGAAACCAGAAGACGAAACTTCTTCATACCAGCAAATTTGTTGCAAAAAATTCTCTTCCTCTGCTTTTTTTAAGCATAAATCATGCAACAAATCATGGACACCACATGATTTGATTCCACCTGTAGACTTTCTTCTGACAACCAAAACCAAACTTCGATCAATTAAATCCATCAAGTAACCCTCTGCCACATCTTCTAAGAGTCTCTGTCCAATTTGGTGTATAAATCCTTCAGCAATCCATAACGAAACTAACTTCCGCACCAAGATTTCGTAGTCTTCTGGGAATGCACTGAAATAGAGGTAGCACGATTTTAGGTGATGAGGTAAATGGTTGTAACTCAGTGCTAGTGTGTCCACGTATTGGTCTCGGTCACTAACAATATATGAACTAACACGTTTAGCAACATGTCTCCACCACTCTAATGTCTTTGGTCTTGTTTTTTTGAGAAGTCCAGAAATTACAACAATTGCAAGAGGTAGTCCTTGACATTTTTTAGCAATTTGCTTTCCGATTTCCATCAACTCTGTAGGGCAATTTTCTTCCTGAAATACCCTCTTACTAAATAGATCCCAACTTTCATCTTCATTTAGAAAGCGCAAAGGGTGAGATCTAAAATGCCTAGACACATCCAAAACCCGACTGGTGAACAAAATTCTGCTTCCATTGTAGTCGTCTGGAAAATATCTTCTAAAATCATCCCAGGCTTCAATATCCCATATATCATCCATGACAATGAGATATTTCTTTCCCTTTAAGCGTCTGTACAACTTTTCACCTTACTCTTCATCGCTCAATTCAGAAATCTCATCCTTCAAATTGAAAGTAGAGCACAAAATGCTACTCAAAACATCTCTCTTTTGATAAGCTTGTGACACGTAGGTCCATGCACGTGTAGGGAGGGAAGTGATCTACTATGTAAGCACCATTGTAGATTAGTTTAGCCAGAGTTGTCTTACCAAGTCCAGGCATACCGATAATGGATATGACTTTTAGTTGCCTCTTGTGTTCTTCGATAAGCAGCTTCTCTACGATTGTTTTCTCATCATCAAAACCCACTACCATTTCTTCATCAACGATGGGTCTGGGATCTCTTGTTGAAGCTCTCTCGGAAGACTCCCCAATTTGGAGTACTCCAGTGCCATACATTTTATTTTCATAAATCTCCACCAAGTATGTCTTGATAGACTTAATCTCTTCTATCACGTAACTAACTTTGTCAAGTGCAAAAGATCCATAGATCCCTGAGATACTCAACCCGCTGTCATTAATTTTCATCACCTCTCTCTTGATACACCTGATATCTGCCAGGACACCGCCATAGAACCTACGAATTTTCTCAGCCTGGTCGACCATTCGCACAGACAAATCTAAAAGAGGCCCCAATTCAACAGCAATGTGAGAATAGAGCCATGTGGCACTCAATCCTTTCTTCGCCATTGTCGCGATAGACTTTATATCTTTTATGGCAACACAAACGTTACCAAGCTGTCTCCCTGCCTCGTAGACCATCTGTTTCAACATATTGGAGAGGAAAAGGCAGTCGTAAGGCTCGCAAAACGCAGGGCATGCGAGTCTTGATCCCATCATCAGGACCGGAGATGAAAGTATTGGTAAAATTCCCGTCTTAAAATATTCAGATAAAACAGAAATTTCTTTCATGAATTTGTGACGAAAAAATAGGCACTTGTTCACAGGAGGGCCACAATCAATCCTACTGAAAATCCTGATAATCTCTTCGTAGTTTCCCTCGAAAGAAAGAAGATCTTCTTCCAAAGTTTCAAGCAAATCAGAAATTTTGTTAGCCGGACGGACAATATTTTCAGTGACAGACTTAAAATATTCAGAAAAAACGCCATGCTCCAGCGATGAAGTAAGACAGCCTTGATGATTTTTGATGGACAAAAAGAACTTACCTCTATACCTAATTTCTTCACGGAGGCTTCTACGAGGTTCTCTTCTATGATGCTGGAGTGCTAAATCCATATGTTTCCGAAAGTGTGCGCTGAGTATGAATGAGTCCACCATGACATCTACCTCACCAGTCACATCTCTAATTCTAGCCACAATATCTTTCAGTTCCTTCTCATGTTCTTCCTTCCCTTTGTCCGCTGAATCCTTGAGAAACTTCCGCATGAATTGCATCTCCTGGTAGCAACATTCGATTTGCTCCTTCTCGATGCGGTTCTCCTCATAAGCCTTCACAATCACTTCATCATCGGTGTTTAGTAGCTTCATCAGGTTTTCCACCACTAGGTCCACACCAGTTTCCATCTCTCTCTTTCTGCAAGATCAATAATGTTTGGAAGAAACTGTTAACCTCCCTCCTCAGAAGCTCTCAATTAACTCTATACACTATGAAACAAGCAAACAGGGAGGTCAACATTGCACTGCCCACAAAATGGAGAGACCTGGCAAAACGGTCGCCAAGGAAAAATTGGTGGCAGAGGAAAAATTGGAATGGACCAACTGCATGAACAGTGACTAAGAACCTTTAATAATAATAATCAATTATGTTAGCTAATGCTGCTACGAGTCCTCAATTAACTCTATACAATATGAAACAAACAAACAGGGAGGTCAATATTGCACTGCCCACAAAATTATTAAGGGGCGCCTTTGCAAGTGGGTTTGGCTGCTATTGCCAATGCTGGAAAGACCTTGACTTCAATTCAAAGTGGAATGGTAAAGAATCCTTTTTTTTTTTTTTTTTTTTTTGGTTAATGGGAATAACAATTGACTTCAAGCTTTTACCCAAGTAACTCACAAAATAAAATACTAGTTCTTTTTTATTTTTTATTTTTTTTATTTTTTATTTTTTTAATTAAAACAAAAGTTACCATTCATGTCTAATTGTATCTCCAATATATATATATATATATATATATATATATTTTTTTTTTTTTTTCTTTGCACCATTTTATACTAAACACAATTTTTTATCCCCATTCCTTTATTTCCTTCCATTCATTCTACCAAACTGTCCCTAAGCAAAAAAAAAAAAAAAGGGGACCCTGAAGGCGATTCTAGGCTCAATCATGTGGGCCCATTATTGTTTTCTTTTTTTTTTTTTTAATTCAGACCCAAGACACTGTACCAGCCCAGAACATTGTTCCTAAGGGCATGTTTGGCTGAAATAAAAGCTAAAATTTATATTTTTGGTTTATTTTGGTCTCTCGTTTCTTTTTTTCCTTTTTTCTCTCAAAATAATTGAACCAAAGGGTGGTTAAGGCACTGTTTGGCTAACACAAACGGTGTCTTAAAGACTTTTTTGGGCAAAAAAAAGTTTTAAAAATTGAAAAAAAAAAAAAGTGATTTTATTTTCTTTTCAAATTTTTCAATGTTCATGTTGACATTATAACCGTTTTTGGTACTATTTGGCTGACCCAAACAGTGCCTTAATGGCTATATTGGCTAACCAAACAATTTTTTTTTTTTTTTTTTTGTTTTCCCTAACAAATTGAAATTTATTTTAAAATATGATTTTTTTATTAAAAAAAATGCGTCTTTGTTTTCACTATAAATCAATAAATCAATGATATTAGATATTGTATTGTTTACAAGATTTCATGCATATTGACTAAATAATTTAATCAACAAACAATTTAATTATTTATTTCAAAATAAAACATTACACAATAAATATTCCATTACATAAACTTCATAACAATTTAAAAATAAAATAATGCAACATAAATTAAACACATTCTTTACCAAAGCGGTTTCACAAATTTTCAATTAAATCTTTCCTCAACCGCGTATTCGTCTCTTTGTTGCGAATTTGGACTTGACGAGAGTAGATGTGTGCCGCTAAGACTAATGGATTTTGAATTAAAGTGGGAATCAATATTGTCTCCTCCGGTGGTGAAGTCCATCTTCCAACATTGGCATGGCGCTCATCTTCGATAATCATGTTGTGAAGGATGATACACATTTTCATTATAAACACAAGCCCCCTTTATCCCAAAAATGCACTGGTCCTTGCTGTAATGTTACCGATTTTCCCTATTTTCTATTTTCGGGAATTTATTTGATTTTTCTGGATTATTTTAATTCTTGCCTCGTTTTGTGTGCCACGCTGGCCCGAGGGGCATTTTGGTCATTTTTTTTAGTCCATGGTTTTAGAAGTGTATTTTTAATCATTTTAAGTGAATTAGAAGTGACGGTATTATTTTTTTAGAATTTTCAGAGATCGGGACAATTTCCGGACTCGAAAACTTCTCCCGGTTTTGTCATTTTAAGAAAGGAGCATGATGGACTTTTCTCACATATATGTATACATCTATATCTATATATTAGAGGTAGATATTTGTTGGGTAAGAATGACATTTCATTGAAAGAGGAAGGGCATTATAGTAACTTAGCTTGATTTAGAAATCACTCAAATTGTGACATTTGGCACAACCTTGGCATGGAAGATACAAGACAACCATTTCACTCGTTTCCCCTTCTCATTTCGGGCACCATTCTTCTCTCTCTATCAATTTCTCTAACTCTCTCTATATTCATACACAAGCACACAAGTATGTCTTCCAAGGAAAAGCTTTAATTTGGAGAGTTTAAGGCAAGATTTTGAGGGAGAGGAAGAAGGGAAGATGGAGAGCTTGGCATGAGCTTCAAGTTGAGACCAATATTGCTAGTGTTTTGAAGGATTTCAAAATTTTAGGAAGCTTAGGGCTTGTTTAGCTAATCATCTTGAGGTAGGGGAAGTCTAAATTATGAATTTCCTATGATTTTAGTGAGTTCTTTGAATTTTCTTACATAAATATCTTGATATTGTGAAGCATCCTTAGTTGTAAATTTTTGGTTATGGTGTTAAGCATGAGATAGCTTTGATCTAATTACTTGAGATGAGAACATGATGGTTTTCTTGTATTTGTGCCAAGCATGTTATTTTTTTTATGAGAAAATTTGAAAGTATGATTTATGTGATCAATTTTTGTGGTTGAATGTTTTAATATAACTATGATGTAAACCATGACTTGTATATTGATGAATGGTTGTATGACATGCATATTCTTGGCATGGGGGTGAGTTGAGAGGATGAAGGTTGATGTAGGAAAGAAGGTTAGAAAATGAGTCAGTGGTTTGTGCGGTAAGTCAAGGTGATGGTTAGAAAAGTTTTAGTGAGGTTGGGTTAGAAAGAAAGAATGGGACATTTGCATTTCATGTTTAATGGTATGATTTGTGAATTTATGAAATTTATGTATGATTGATATGCCTTATAATCCCATGATCCCTTCTTTTTTTATTCCCTTTCTTTGGTTGCGGCTCACGGGATTTTTTAGGAATGTACTTTTACGCTTTCTCTACTGAGCTGTTGAGCTCACCCTATCATTATTAACATTTTTCAGGGATTGAAGATGAGCCGGTGAATGATATGCATCCATGGATATCGATGCAATTAGGACTTCATTTTATGCATACTAAAGCTATGTAATTTTCGCCATGGAGGCCTCATTCTTGTATTTAATTCCTTTGAAAATTGTATAAAAAGAGATTTGTATAATGCAGTCTTTAAACGATGTATTGGACTTGTATTCGATTTAATTGAAGGCATTGGAGTTTAATTATGTTTCTTACACTATCAATTACATGTTTGGGAATGGGATTAGACTTTAATTAAGATCACCAATGGACCTAGGGAGTGTCCATATGTATGTGTTTCAGCATTTAGGCCTTTCTGGGTAAAATTTTTAGGTTGTGGACTTGGGGAACCGGTACCTCATCCGGGCGGTTCAAGGGTGTTTTTGGTTCATGTCTGGGCATTCTGCCCATGTGGAACCGGTACCAAGATTTGGGAACCAGTTCCAACTCTCTAGTGTATATTTTTGCCTTGACAGTGTATCAGCTTTGACCGCCTGACTTCGTTTGGTCATAACTTATTTGTTCTAAACCCAAATAGGGTTATTCTTGAGTCTATTTTCAAGGATTTTGAGTTCGCTTTCCAATAAGACCAACTTTATCCTCAAATTCCATTCATGTTGAGAGTTATGGTTGTTTTAGTGAAACAGTGTCAGGATTTCTCTTGAATAGGGTAAGGGCGCTTTCGGGAAATCACATCCAATGACCGTAGAACCTCTTCAAACGTCATGGAATGACTAGAATGATTGTTTTAAACTTTATTTGACTAGTTTGAAGGCAGATTACCCTCATATATTGTAAAATAACCATTTTACCCCTAGTGTGTCCTCGGGTTTGGGTAAGGACTCGGCTAGCGATTCGGACCCTCGAGTTCAGGTCGTTACACTTGTGTTATTGGTCACTTGCTCTGTAAAACCCTAAAAGCTCGTTCCATATCTTTCCTACAGGTCTCTTGTCTCTGAGCGAAAAGTTTTTCTTTTGCTATAGTTGGATACGGGATGGTCTGCATCAAAGTTACCCACTTAGGGTATATACCATCAAATAGGTAATACCCCATTCTATGGTAATGGCCATTCACAACGAAATTAACCGGAAGAATTTGGCTAGTAATGATACTGTTGAATTCTAGAGAATGATCCAACACATTAATATCATTGTGTGAACCCGATATTCCAAAGAATGCATGCCAGATCCACAAATCTTTTGAGGCAACCACCTCCAATATGAGTGTAGGCGTATGAGAGTGTCCTTTATGCATGCCATGCCACGCCACCGGATAATTGTTCCACTCCAAGTGCGTATAGTCAATAGAACAAAGCATACCCGAGAATCCTCTCTCCTCCGCTTCTTGAAGTAGTCGTACTATGTCGGCTTCGTTGGGTGGGCGCATGTACTCTTCCCCATACACACTAGTAACAGCCTTACAAAATGTCATCAGGGTTTTAATGGCAGTGCTCTCGCTAATTTTAATATACTCATCACAATGATCAGCTGCATAACCATATGCAAGTATACGTATTGCAATTGTCATCTTTTGTATAGAAGACAATCCCAAACAACCTGTTGCATCCCTTTTTTGGATGAAGTAGTCGTCATAAGCTTTAACATCATTCAAGGTATGAAGAAATAGTTCTCTTCGCATCCTGAATCATCTGTGAAAGTACTCCGGTGGATATGTGTAATTCTCGTTAAAGTAGTCTTTCATTAGCTGACGGTGGCTTCTCTCTCGATTACGATGAATGTACAGCCTCTTACACAGTTTAAAAACTTACTCTACTATCTCTGGGTTCACTGAATTCAAAATCTCACGAAATGCATCTTGATTATGTTGAATCAGTGCATCAATAGGGTTATCTGATGAAGAAGATGATGAAGAAGATAAAGAATTAGAGCCCGACAAAGGAAAAAATTGTGATGAGGAAGCCATTAGAATTTTGAGATGAAAGAGATGTGAATTGATATTTTGCTAGAATAAGTTGAGATGAATGTAATAATGATGAGATGAACAAATGGTTGTTTATATAACATGAAAAATATAGCTGTTATAAATATAGCCGTTAGGAAAAAGTTTAAAAAATAAATTATTTTAAATTTTAAAAATATTAAAATATTAATATTTTTGGAGAGCGAAAATGCACCATTGGAGTACATGCAATAGCTAAAATTTGGAGACTCTAAAACATTGACGTGGTTATAGGAAATGCTGATGTGGCATGTGAAAAATGCTGAGGAGGCAAATTCGGAGAGCCTAAATTCGAAGAGCCCATTAGAGATTCTCTTACATATATATACCTATACACATATATATGTATATTGTAACAATTGAGGACTGCTCAAATATGTGCACCAACACACCAATACAAGGACAATGTGATCCACTCACACACTTGTATATCAGAATTATCTCTTCTACTTTGATAGGAGGATTGTAGCTCATTCATATCCAATTAGGGCTGCATCAGCACCTGTAGAAAGGAGGTATATATTGTCCTTTTATCTGTAGAAGCATAGAAGAAGCCTTAAGATATTTTTGAGCCTCAAGAGCTGAAAAAATATATATTGCACAATATTCTCGAGAGACCAAAATGTATAGAGTTTTCTGAGATACTAATCAATCAATTATCTCAAAAACTTGCCAGGGAAGAGAGTTACAAGATGTACAACAGTGATGAGCGCTGAAAAGTGTGTATTTAAACCCCTTAAGCTTAGGCATTCTAGTACCTTTATCTATCTTACTTTACCATTTTAGATTAATTGCGTATTATTTCCATTTTCAGGCACTTATCCCGAAAATAAGCTAACTCAGCCAAATAAGAGCAGAAATGAAGCAATTTTGGGATGAATCAAAGAAAGGAGCCAAGTGGAAGCAAAAGGAAGAAAAAGGTGGAAATCAACATCTTCGATCGATCTCAGATCAAAGTTCGATCGATCCAACATGATCAATCTCAGCACTTCAAGATGGATCAGAGCCATGATGACATTTTCAGAAATCTCAAAAGTTTGATCGATCCAACATCATTCTTCGATCGATCGAACTGTCCTGTCCTTATCCAAATGATTGATCTTATCTAGTTGTACCACTCTACCAACCACTTTTGTCCTTTTCCTAAAAATATCTTCAAAATATCTCAGATTTGTCTTTATCCAAAAAGCGCCACCATTGAGGATCAATCCAACCTAAGCTCGATAGATCTCAGCCATGTTCGATCGATCTAAGTCCAAGGTTCGATCGATCGAACTTCCTCCAGTGCGAAAAAGTTAAATTTTCAGCTCATTAAAAGTTGTCCTTTATCCAATCATTGGGGAATATTTTGTGCATAATCCCAGCTCATTTTGGGTGTCATTTAACCTACCTATATGAGGATAAAGATTGCTTTCTACAATGAGGAGACCATACCTCATATCATATCATCTCATACCTTGTAACAACTCTTGGAGAACAGGCTTAGAGGAGGAGGAAGCTAGAGACACCATTGGAGACTCTTCATCAACCAAGGAGCAAATCTCTACCATGGAGTTAGCCCTTGAGGGTTGGAAAAGCACCACCATGAGTGATGCCTTTTGGTTTGTGCAATGCACCCGCCACATTCCAAAGGTGTATGATATCAATTTTCTCGGATATGGTAGAAGAGTATCTAGAGGTTTTCATGGATGATTTTTCTGTTTTTAGGTCTTCATTTAATGCATGCCTCAAAAATTTAGATCTAGTGCTTAAGAGATGTCGTGAAACCAACCTTGTACTTAGCTGGGAAAAGATCCATTTCATGGTTCAAGAGGGTATTGTTTTGGGTCACATTATCTCAAGGAGAGGAATAGAGGTAGATAAAGCAAAAGTTGAGCTTATTTCTGAATTGCCTCCATCTTCAACGGTGAGAGAGGTACGCTCCTTTCTAGTTCATGCTAACTTTTACCGCCATTTTATCAAAGACTTTAGCAAAATTGCTCGACCCTTGTGCAATCTTCTTGGCAAGCATACTTAGACGCTTTTCATAAATTACGTGAATTATTATCATCTGCTCCTATCATGCAACCTCCCAATTGGTCATTGCCATTTGAAATCATATGTGATGCTTCTGATTATGCCGTGGGAGCAGTTTTAGGACAAAGAGTTGGTAAGGTTCCTTGTGCCATCTACTATGCAAGTAAAACTTTCTCGGGAGCTCAATTGAATTACTCCACTACCGAGAAAGAATTACTTACCGTAGTGTATGCTCTTGATAAATTTCGTTCCTATCTCTTAGGGTCTAAAGTTGTTATTTATTTTGATCATGCCGCTTTGAGACATCTATTGACAAAAAGGGAAACAAAACCTAGGTTAATTAGATGCATTTTGCTTTTTCAGGAATTCGATTTTGAAATCAAGGACAAGAAAGATAGCAAAAATGTGGTTGCCGATCATCTTTCTAGGTTATCGATAGAGCCTTTCCCTAGTCTACCAATTTGTGACTCTTTTCCGGATGAACAACTCTTTCAAATTTCCAATGGAAAAATGCCTTGGTTTGCCAACATTGTGAATTATTTGGCAATAGGCAAGCTACCAACTTCTTGGACGAAGAACGAAAAGAATCATTTCTTTGCCAACATCCGGAATTACTATTGGGAAGACCCTGTCTTGTACCGATATTGTCCGGATCAAATTGTGAGGAGATGCATTCCGAAGAGTGAAATTCCAAGCGTCCTAGTGTTTTGTCACACTTTTGCATGTGGTGGGCATTTTAGTGCAAAGAAAACTACCTTGAAGGTTCTTCAAAGTGGGCACTTTTAGCCCACTATTCATAGAGATGCCTACAATTTTTGCAAATCATGTGAGAGATGTCAAAAGATGGGGACAATGCCTAGAAGAGATATGATGTCCTTAACCAATATACTTGTTGTTGAGATCTTTGATATATGGGGCATTGATTTTATGGGTCCATTTCCTATGTCCTACGATTTTCAATACATTCTTCTTGCCGTTGATTATGTTTCCAAGTGGGTGGAAGCATGTGCTTCCAAAACAAATGACCACTCCGTGGTCATTCAATTCATTAAATCAAATATCTTTACTCGTTTTGGTATGCCAAGGGCTATAATAAGTGATGGAGGAAAAGATTTTTGCAATCAATTCCTAAGGCATTTATTTCTTAAATACTCCGTCACTCATAAGGTAGCCATTCCCTACCATCCTCAAACAAGTGGGCAAGTTGAAGTATCTAACCGGGAAATTAAGCACATTCTTAAGAAAACAGTTAACACCACCCGGAAGGATTGGTTAAAGAAGCTAAATGATGCTTTGTGGGCTTATCGGACGGCACATAAGACTCCCATTGGCATGTCTCCTTATAGGCTTGTATATGGAAAGCCTTGCCATCTTCCGGTTGAGTTAGAACATAAAACCTTGTGGGCTGTTAAAAAGCTCAATTTTGACCTTGATGAAGCCGGAGAGAATAGACTACTTCAATTGAGTGAGTCAGAAGAATTGAGACATAATGCTTATGATAATGCCAAACTTTACAAAGAAAGAACCAAAGTCTTTCATGATAAGCATATTGTGAAAGAGTCTTTGGAACTCGATCAAAAAGCTTGGCTTTTTAACTCTAGACTAAAACTTTTCCCTGGGAAATTGAGAACCAAATGGGAGGGTCCTTATGAAATCATCTTTGTTGCACCTCATGGGGCGATTGAAATCAAAAATTTGAAGGAGGGAAATATTTTTAAGGTTAATGGACAGAGGTTGAAACCTTACATTCGAGGGTCAAGTCTTTTAAAGACATTTGGAAGTTGCGCATCTAGTTGACCCGATGTATGAAAACATAGAAAATTGCATTAACAAGGGAGCTAAAGCTTCTTTTGAACTTAATCTAATAAGTTCTTCAAGGAACCATTTGTTGGGTGGAGTTTAAAGTATCTATCACCCCAACAAGGAGGGGATGCATAACAAGATCTTTGATCCGGGTTAAAAGAGCCCAACGTCTTGCTAGAGACGTTAAAGACTAGCAAAACATTCCGTAGGGTGTCAAAACCCTATTCCTCCCTCATTTCTATCTTAAATTTCATTTCTTGCGAAGTCTAGATATTGGCTTTAGGTTCATATGCATTGCTAGGAACTGTGATTAGGAGTGCATGAAATTTTGTGTTGTGATTGAGTATTTTGCATAAGTTCAATCGATCTCAAATGATAGTTCGATCGATCGAACTTCCACCTACATCCAACACTTAGAAAAATTTTTGACATGCATCTACCTGCATCCAAATCACCTCTCTGTCCCATCGTTCGAACTTATTCTCAGATCGATTAGGAGACCTTAGATCGATCCAACTTCAAAGTTCGATCGATCTCGTGCTCCAACACTTAGAAAATTTGGAGCCTACAAAAACCTGCATATTTCAGCTCTCTGTCTCATCGATCGAAAACATTTCAAGATCGATCTGAAGTTCTTCGATCGATCCAACTTCAAAGTTCGATCGATCTGCAAGTTCCAATACTTAGCCAAATTTTTGAACCAAAAACCTACATATTTTTACTCTTTGTTTGATCGATCGAACATTTTGTTCACATCGATCTCAGTTCTTTAAATTCTTCATTTTGACCCTTGTTTGACTTTTTAATTTTCAAAAATCCAAAAATATTTTTGTTTTATTTTATTTTTCAAAAACTCCAAA